GACTCGACGGCACATAACAACAACAACAACAACCTCTCCATTTAGTGTTTTGTGATCAATAGTATCTTTTTTTTTTTTTTTTTAAATTGTTTTAAATAAACAGGGATAACAAGTCCAGTTCCACTCCTTTCCCATCACTTTCTAACAAGAGAAGCTGAATCGTTTAGAAGGAGTTTGGGGTAGTAGGTGTATGTAATAGACACCACCATTCATAACTGGAAAACGTTGGGTTGTGACACCACCATCAGTTTACACATGAGAAAAACAAAAAAGAAGTTACTGACAATAGGAATGATGAATCAACTAATTTGAGTTAAAAAAAAAAAAAAAAAACAATGCACACCACTACATTGTATCTTAGTAACTATGAAATATTTTTATTTAAATTGTATCCTTTCCCCCAGTTTTATACACTAGTTTTGCAACAAGTTTCAATAAATCTAACATGCACTAAAAAGCAATACTTAACTTTTACGAATTTAAGCATCCCTACATGATAAAATCTCGGAAGGAAGGTTGGGCAATCCTACTTCCGTAGTGATACTGCCTCGGTCGCTATGAGTCGGGTTTGACTCGATGGCACATAACAACAACATATGATAAAATGGGGGCTCTGGTAGCATAGTGCCTAAGGCACTTGACTGCTAACCAGAAGGCTGGCCGTTCAAACCCACCAGCCACTCCTCAGAAAGAAGATGGGGCAATCTACTTCCGTAGTGATACTGCCACTGCCTCGTAAACCCAAGGAGGGATCACTTCGAGTCGTGTCCGACTCGACGGTACATAACAACAACAGCAACATACGATAAAATAGGGACTTGTTAGTTACCTACAGCTCACAAATGTTTCATGTTGTATGGCTTTTAAATACTTTCAGTGAAACACTTCAAATTTTTAACTCAGAAAAAAAAAAAAAACTTAACACGATGAACATGACCTAACTTTTCTTAACCTTAAACATAGCTATAAATAAAGCAAAACGAGAGAAGTTCATCACTATTCAGGAAGAGGCACCCCCCAACAAAGGGCTGGGTGGGGAAAAGATTCCGTAGGTGCACGGGGCAACTCAAGAGCGATTCCCCATGTTTTCCGCATTCTGCAATCCTCAATAGCTCAGTGTTGCGGCTAGGGCCATAACCTACAACCTTCATCTCAGGGGCTCCCAGCATTTCTGCGTAGCTCACACACAACTGCTGGAGGAAGACCGCATTAACGAGGCTGTAAGACAGACGTAACCGTGCCACTCCAGGACGTCGGACGTGGAGCGAGAAACCTTTTCCACTTCCAATCGAAATCAGAGCAATGGGTGTATTTGCAAAATAGATTTCTTAGAAAGGCCCCGTAAGACAAAATGCTGCGAAGAGTGAATTACGCCCAAGCTGAGATGCAGCGGGGGGGAAGGCCCCACGATCCCACCGCCGCAGCCTGCACCTCGCGCCGAGTCGCGCCCGACCGCGCCGCCCAAGGCTCCAGAAGTATTTGGAGACCCCCACCCCACCCGGTCAGGACTGACCCTCTCCCCTACCCGTACGCCCTTGGCCAGCGCCCCTCACCCTGGTGATTGAACAGTCTCCATATCCTGGTGAAGAGAATTCCCATTCTCGGGCAGCGGACCCCCCTCCAGCCACCCAGGCCGCCTGGCCTCCCCCGGCTCAGGCTGAGGAAGAGGAGAGGGACGCGCCAGAGCCTCCGCCTCTGCTGCTGCTGCTGCTCCCGTGTTTGCCGCCAGCCCGCTTCCCGGGAACCGGAGGGAGGCCGAAGCTCAGGCCGCCCTGCCGCGCGCGAGGCCCCGCCGCTGCCGCCGCGGCACTCGCCTGGCTCGCGGACATCGCCGCCGCGTTGTCTGCGACGAGCCTCGCGGGCCACCGTCCTCCCCCAGCTCCTCTCGGGCGGCTGCTGCGGCGGCGACCACGCGGGCGGGGGAGGCGGGGGGGCGGGGCAGGAAGGGCGCAGGCGCACGGCCGGATGGGCGGAGCCTGGAAAAGGCGCCCGGGCCCTGGTTTATTTGCATAAGGAGGAGACTTGAAGGCGGGCGGGAGTAAACCTGAGTTTCAGTCGGTGCTGGCTGCTGGTTGGGGCAGATGGCTCTTGGGGACTTGCTGTCGTTCCCTTGCTGAGTTTTTTATGCTTTTTCTCTGCATTGCTGCCACAAAGCCATAATGTAAAGAAACACGTTATTGAATGTCCAGCGTCTATTCCTTCACACACCAAAACCCAACCTACTGCTGTGGACTAGATTCTGACTCATAACGACCCTATGGGACAGAGTGTTGTTGTCGTTATGTGCCGTGGAGTCGGACCCGACTCATAGCGACCCCTCCTTGGGTCTCCAAGGCAGTATCACTACGGAAGTAGATTGCCCCATCTTCCTTCCGAGAAGTGGCTGGTGGGTTTGGACCACCAGCCTACTGGTTAGCAGTCAAGTGCCTTAGGCACTATGCTACCAAAGCTCCCACGGGGCAGAGTAGAACTGCCCTACAGTGCTTCCAAGGCGGAAACCGATTGCCACATCTTTCTCCCTAGAGCGGCCGGTGGCTTTGAACCACCGACCTTTAGTTAGCAGCCAAGCCCTTAATCAAGGCTCCTTTGCCCTTCACACACACACACACACACACACACACCAAAATCCCACATCTTGGCGCTCAAAATCAAGGGCTTCCATAAAACTTACTGAGGGAAGCTAAAGGTAAGTTCTTTCACTTATCATGCCCCAACATCCAGCTGGAGCTGCTTGTCTCGCCTAGGCAGTCAGTAGCATTTTGGCCTGTTTGTGTACCTCAGACTTTGTCTCTTCCCTCTTTCCTTTCACTCAGGTCAGTCTTGTCTGAAGCTACCATTCAATCATGTCATTCCCCTCTTTAAATACTTTTAGTGGTCATTAAAGCTATGTTAGCAAAAGAGGAGAGTCCAAATACCTAGACTCACTGTCCTCTACAGTATAACCCCGTGTCCTTTCTAGCTAGCTATATTCCCATTTAAGAATCTTGTGCCCGTTAAACAATGGTTATATGTTCTCTGCTCTTCCAATCTCTTATCTATACAGCTTGAATATCTATGTCCCAAGCTCTATTATGGAATATTTGGTTGCAAACTGGAATGTACGTGAGTCATGAGGGAACTGGATGTCAGTGTTTTGGTGCCATGTTTTTTTTTTTTTTTTTCCAAGCTGGACAAAACACTTAACCTCTCACGTGCTGCCATCAAGTCAATTTCAACATACAAGGATCCCTTTTAGCTTTCCAACCCTGTAAATCTTTATGGAAGCATCTTTCTTCCAGTGGAGCAGCTTGTGGTTTGAACAACTGACATTTGGTCAGCAGCTAAATGCCTTAACCACTTAACAGTTAATACCACCAGAGCTCCTTAACCTCTTAAAAAAAATAACAACCAAACTCATTTGCGTGGAGTTGATTCTGACTCACAGCCCCCCTCTTGGGTTTCTGAGGCAGTATCTTTATGGGAGTAGATTGCCAGTCTTCCCTCTGAGGAGTGGCAGGTGGATCTGAACCTCCAGCCTTCTGGTTATCAGTCAAATGCCATAGGCACTATGCCACCAGAACTCCCCCTTAATCTCTAGTGTCCTCACTTTTCATATATGTAAAGGCAGAGAGTTAATCTCTGAAGTCTGTCTTTGATTCTTGGTCTTCTGGTGACTATGATAATTAGTTCAAAACTCTTGTTAGAGGAAAGAGGTAGGAAGAAAGAATATAGGGTTTACTCGTTTCCTATCATGAAGGAAAGATCTCTGCTGACTTAGTGCCTAAGGCAGTTGAATGCTAATCAGAAGGATGGCTCTTCAAATCCACCAGCCAGTCCAGGAAAGGAAGACTGGGCAATCTACTTCCTTAAACATTTACCTCCTTGGAAACCCAATAGGCGTTGCTATGAGTGGGGATTGACTTGATGGCAGTGAGTCTGGGTTTTTTAAAGAAACCAGAAACATAGTTAACTCCATCCTCTTCTATTCTCCTTAAATTTGGTCAAAGGAAGAAAAGAAAAAGTGGGAGTTTTATAAGGCATTTTGAACTGGCGTGCTCACCCTCCAAGAGCTGAATGAAATTAAAATATAAAGAACTACACCTTTCCACCTCACTTAACATGTATACACTATTTTACCTCAACATATACAAAAGTAACTTTTTTGACTTCTTGTCTAAGGCATTTGACTGCTAACCAGAAGGCTGGCGGTTCAAACCCACCAGCCACTCCTCGGAAGGAAGATGGGGCAATCTACTTTCGTAGTAATATTGCCTCGGAAACCCAAGGAGGGGTTGCTATGAGTTGGGTCTGACTCAAGAGTACATCACAACAACAACAATATACAGAGAAAAGCTTCAGAAACCCGTGTAGGGGGCTTTTTGACTGCATATCAGTCTGAACTTATGTAGGGTGAAACCTCATAAGGCTGACAAAAACAATTTCTGAAGGGAAAAAAAAAATTACCAAAAAGCTGTAAAACAAGTAATTCCCGGAGTTTACAAGAATCATTGGAGTTCTCTCCAGCCACAGTAGTGAAAGAACTCACTGACGATGGAGTATTCATTCAGTAGAGACAACAGAGAAGCCAGGCCTTAGAGAAGGACCTAAATTAGCCTTAAAAAAACCCACTGCTCTAGACAATCCTTGGAAAAAAAAAAAATCAAACTAATTCATAATTGCCTGTCAAAACAAATCCAATATTCCTTGAAGAATTCAACAAGATATCAACAATGTAAAATTTCCAGTATCTTGCATCCAATAAGAAATTACTGGACCTAAAAAGAAACAGGAAAACGTTGACCCATACCAGATGAAAAACCACTCTACAGAAACAGATCCAGGTACAAGAGATTGATTGTCCAGAACTCACAGCTTATAAAGGCTATATATCTGACTATGAACTCAGTCAGTCTGACTCCATAGTCCACACTCTAACCATTACGCCAATATGCATGTTGTATGAAAAAACACAGCTCTGGTGGTGTAGTGCCTAAGGCATTTGACTGCTAACCGAAGGCTGGTAGTTCAAACTCACCAGGCACTCCTCAGAAGGCAGGCTGGGCAATTTACTGCTGTAGTGATACTGCCTCGGAAACCCAAGGAGGGGTCACTATGAGTGGGATCCAACTTGATGGCACTGCGTTGTGTTGCATTGCGTTATGTATGAAAAAACAAGATATTTTCCTCTATAATCCATTTTATTAGTGGAAATTTGCTGATGACCAGAGAAGTGGCTTCAGGCAGATGGCCAGATGATATGGTGATAGCAGTGAGCTACTGAATTCTTTCTTTTTTTTGAACAAGCCTGTTTCTTTACATCCTCAGCAAGCATACTGATTCTGATATATATATAAATTATGAGGATGGTCAAGCATTTTTCTGAGTTCAAAGTCATATTTACTCCCTTCACCCCTACAAAGAATATGTTAAAACTTTTCATCACTTTTATAAATTGGGAGGATGGTCTTACAAATTAATCTCAATGTTCTTTTGTATAGTATTTCATGCACATGAGTATTTCATCATATGGATTTTAAACATATTGACCCTGTACCTATTTGTCTTTCTACTTAACAAAATGGGGGGAAAAAAAAGGAAGGAAGAAAAAAATAAAAAGCTATGGTATTCCAGGTATTGTTTTGTATGCTTCATCTTAATATCTAGCTTATATATATAATTTAATAAAGTACTTTAGACTAAAGTTACAATGAGCTTTGGTTTCCTTGTTTGTAGTTAGTTCTAATAATCCATGCCCTGCCTACTTTCCAGTGTGGTTAGATGGATTAAATGGGAAAATGTTTCTGAAATAACTTGGCATGACTGTAATGCAGTGATAATAACCAACACAGGACATATATTACACATTTCTTTTGAAATTCCTGTACACGGTCAAGTGAGAAAAGTCAAATGATGATTGGGTCATAGTATGGACAACTGACACTGGGAACATTTAATGCCATCACAACTACATGTTATCCATGGAATTCATACCGTTACAAGATACTTTTGAAAACTTCTGATAACTGCTATATTAATTGCTTAGGATTATCTTATGAACAATAAAGTCTGCCAACTATATTTTAAAAATATTGTACTAAACCCTAAATGACCCATAATGTGAATGTGTGTTTAATTTACAAACTCTTTCCTAATATAGTACTCAGGACCTCTGATGGTTTAGTGCCTAAGGCATCTGACTGCTAGCCAGAAGGCTGGAGGTTCAAACCCAGCAGCCACTCTTCGGAAGGAAGGTTGGACAATCTATTCTCTTAGTGATACTGCCTCGGAAACCCAAGGAGGGGTTGCTATGTGTCGGATCCAACTTGGTGGCAGTGTGTTTTTTTTTGGGGGGGGGGGTTGTGATCACTCATAGAACCTAGTACAGAATTCAGGAAATATTCATTTAATTAAATCTATTTTGAAGGTACATGTTCAGACATTTTTCCTAGATGAGATATGGGAATGTGCCTATTGATTTTTAGTATGTCCTTAGTATATCCCTAGAATAATATAAAGGAGAGGTAAAACGATGGTTTCAGTGGTTTTTTTTTTTTTCCATTTATTATATAAAAGAAAAAAATTAATGCAGTTGGTTTGTATACATTTAAATTCCATAAAACAAATCCATAGAAATTAGGACTATATGCATGCACTCTGCATTTTCTTTGCTAAATGTTTTTCACAAAAATAACAACACGTTTTTTCCCTGTAAAGCCACTGAAGCAGAGGGAGAACAAAACATGCAGCAGCACTGTACACATTTGCATAGTATTTACCCAGCATGCCTTGTCAAATGCTAAACATACCGATACAAGAGGAATAAAAGGGGGAAGTTATCAAAATAAATACATAA